CACCGGTACACACTTACATGTCCACACATTTAGTTACACACATGCACACACACACACACACACTCAGCGTGATTGCAGCAATAGTCTCGGAGAGCCCACGGATGACTCACTCAGTGCTCCACTTTCATGTATCTGCACACACACACACACACAAAACTAGATAATGAGATCCCATCCAGCCTCCGTTGGCCCCATGTGCCTCTGCAGCAGCAGCAGCAGCAGCAGACCAAGCGGGCCACTTAGCAATATATGTGACCTCATGCACACACACAGCTGTCTGATTGGTGCGAGCGGGTCCGCGCTTCCTAAACACGGACGGAGCCAGAACTGCTCCGACACGCGCGCGCCGGCGGTACCGGCCGATCTGATTGGCCCCGGCTCCGGCTCCGCGTTCTATACATCAACGCTGAGCCACAGGTGGCGGTGGAGGTGGAGGGGAGGGGAAGGAGGGGGGGGAGTGCTGTGTGTTCCCGTGGCAACACGAAGCAGTTGCCGTGGCGACGGGAAGCAGAGGGCGGGAACAAGTTATGGCGCTAAGATGTGAGGAGACTATCAATGATGGGAGGACGGATACGTGAGCGAGGGAGGGTGGAGGCAGAGGACAGAGGGTGTCTGAGGTGAGGCCGGGACATTGTTTTTGGTGGAGTCTCATCCATCTTTGTCTCGCTCCGTCCTCCCTCCCACGTCATCTTCTCTCTCTTTCTCTCTTCCCCATTCTCTGCATTCCACCTCTAATCAGCCTCTCTTTGTAATCTCTCCATTTTCCCACTTTGTCAAAAAGGGAACACAGTGTACCCACATCGCCAAAGTGCTGTATCAAACCGGAGAGCCGAGTTAACATGCAGGAAGGGGCGCCGTGCATTATCTCCACACACGTATCTCAACAATCGCCTTACGTCTCGCTAAAGCTGTTCCATATTTAAAGAAAATGAACAATGCTTAGATGATTCTTTTTTTTTTTTTAGAAATCTAGGCCATGGAGCTTTGATTTCCTCCCGGGGTGCCCTGATGTTCTTGTCACGCTGACGGCTGAGACGTCTCTTTTTTTCCACCGAGATGTGAGAACATCTTATCTGATCACATTTGAAAGGGATCCCCTAAATGACGGGCAGCTAAATATTCCCGGTTTCACATGACGGCAGCTTAGAAAGCACACATTAGCATACTTATACACAGGTGAGGCGAACGTTCCTCGTGCTGAATCACTCACGAAGCGGCGAAGAATTAAAAACTCGACAAGAGTAAAGCTTTGCAGAGACTTGTGTTAACTCATGCTACACATTTTAATTGGTCTTTCTGCATGGCCAGAACATGACTTCTCTGCTCGCCCTGTGCAGATCAGTTGACCCGTGATGACACGGAGTTCACACTTAATATAATGAAACTCTGGTGCATCCTCCGCTCTGTGCAATAAAGTAAAAAGAGCTGCTGCTGGTTGGGAGACAATGTGTTTAAATCCAGCGATACATCACAACAGTGTTAGCCAGGACTACAGCCGTAGCCGCAACGTGTAAAATACTACTCCAGTAATCTTAAAATAAACTGTTTATAGTAGATCTTTTAACAGCAGCCGTGTGTGAAATCGTGGAACGCTTCCAAAGTTGGCCGGCCAGAATTTCTGACAGAAATCCAGCCGATTGTTTGAAAGCCGAATCGCTCAGGCGGTTCATCAATCAGGCTTAATTCACACAAAGTCCGCGGCCCTGAAAACTGCTCGACTGGGACGCGGCAGCAATTTAAAGCGAATGCTAAGATGCACAAATCGGCAGTCGGAGCAGGTATGAAAACACTAAGTCACAGCGGCGGACCCCGACGCCGGCTCTTTTGGAGCCCTGATGATTACGCTCAGCGGCCGCTATTGCACACCGGCGTGAGCGATCGGTCGCCGTCCTCGAGGGAAACGCGCCGGCCAATCGATGCGTGTTTCCGTGACGACAGTCATAAACAAACATAGAGGAATTTGTAAAGCTGAATGCGACGTACAGACGGGTGACGAATTAAAGGAAAACGTTGAACCCGTTGACCCCCACAGCAAGGGGATCCTGGTTTGAGTCCACTCGTCTCCTCAGAGGGAAGAATCCCAACAAATTCATACAAAGTTGTTCTCCACCTCCATCCTTTCATTTCTATCCCGAGGAGAACTGTTTCCTTCAGAACGGCAGCGCTCCCGTCCACAGGATCACAAAATGCTTTGATAAAAACAATCGTATGTTTTAGTCTTTTACAGTTAGCGGATCTAAACCCAACCGAACACCAGTGGGAGATTGGTGATCGTCAGACAGTTTTCTCCATCGTCGTCAAAGCACCAAATTTCTTTTGGAAAAACGGTGTTCGTTCCTCCAGTAGAGTTCCAGTGACTTGGAGAGTCACTGGTGGCGCTGGAGCTGTTCTGGCAGCATGTGGTGGCCCAACAACGCTTTGCTTGTGTACAAGTCTCTTCATGGTCCAGCACCAAAGCACATCTCTGACATGTTAGTACCATATGAACCATCTCCAGCTCTGAGAACCTGGTGCCCAGAGTCAGAACTAAGCTCCAGTTTTATGCAGGTAAAATCTGAGACTGTCCTTCAGAAGATGTGAGACAGACCTCAACTCTGACAATGTTCAGAGCGGTCCTCAGCCAAGGCTCTGCTCAGCGTCCCACATTCGAGGCTGAGGACCAAAGGTGACCGGGCCTGTTCTGTAAGAGCCTCCACCCTCTGGACCAGCCTCCCTGAGGAGATCATGATCTGCAAACACTTTATCCTCCTTTAAAACTCTTTTAAAAACACATTTTTACAGATGTGCTTTTACAGGAGTTGTTTTATGACTGTACTTTTACTCCGTTTGATGGCGGTATTAAGGGCAGTACATTTTATCTTCTGACTGTTTTATTCCTTTATTGTCTTTTAATTGTCCACTTTTACTGGGTTTTATTTTTCTTATATATTTTTATATTGTTTTATTGTCTTTCATGCTTTATGTGCTTCACCTTCACCATTTTATATTTATTTAATCATGTATTTTTGGCTTTTCACTTCCTTTAATGTTGTTTAAAGTTGTTCTTACACTTCTCTTTGAATCTGTACAGCACTTTGTAACCCTGTTTTGAAAAGTGCTACATAAATAAAGTTTATTATTATTATTATTATTATTATTGTTATAAATTCAGGCTGAGAACTGTTCTATTTAGGCCACTTTTACACATAGCCGGGTACCATAAAAATGGATCTACGGTTTTAAAGTTTACACCAGATCGTTTTCAAACTCGTTTACACAAACCCGCATAAAGACGTCGTTAAGAGCTGCTATGAGCTGCCACACCTGTAGGGGGCAGTGTAACGAGAAGCATAAAGCCATGCTAGCCAATCAGAATCCTGGAAGAACCACAACAACGAATGGTACGAACTACTTCCTGTTACTTTAGCAGCGTGAGGGTCGTTTGTTTGGACCGACAGAGAAGTGGAGCTGCTCCTAAATGTGGTATAAATCCAAGTATATGGACGTAGCCAAACTGTAAACATGCTTCGCACACGTATGACGCTGATGACGTCAAACTCCGCCTCCTCCCGTCTACATGCAAAGATGGAGTTTTTCCAAATCTCCACTGTGGTCAGAGTTTTCAGATACGATGTGACTTGTAGCTTCGTTTAAAACCAAAGACCCACTGAAATGTCACTGGAAGTATTTTATCTGTCTAATTCATGATTATATTTACGTTTTTTATGGACTGATTTTATCTGCCTCTTCCCCTTCAATGTAATTAAATAATGAAATATGTTTTGTGGATTGACTTTATCCGTCCGTCTGTGTGTGTGAATCGCCTCGGGTACTCGTCGCGCTACACAAATAAACCTGCCTTGCCTTGCCTTTTTGGCATCGCTCGCAGAGGAAGGACGGCGAATTCTTGAAGAGCCGACAAAGCTCAGCGAGAGCTTCACACAGGCGTAATTATTTTCGAGCAGAACTCAACCCAAACGAAAGGGGTCAGCTTCCTCCTGTGGTTTCATGCTGTAGTGACCCGCAGACGGCAGCTTGTGCTCGAGTTTTCAGGTGACGCACACCAGAGCGAGAGAAATGTGGAAATCAGTGTTGCGTGGCTCGAAGCATCTGTGGAGCTCGGTTCAGGGCCGGGCAGCGCTGCTAGGCGGTCTGGCAGGCTGTACTTAGGCTCATCAGCGCTTCGGGCTAAGTACTAATGTCAGCGCGCTCGCAGTGACAATGCTAACCGTGGGATTTTTCAGCATTATTTACCAACACGTGCACAAAAGTGTCCTCGCAGCTGAAGAGAATGTCAGTAGTTTTGCAGCTGTGTGAGATGAAAAGGTCAGTTTATATCACTACATTTTTACCAAAATACATCCACAGCAGCGGAGATATTTCAATAACAAAAAGACTGGACAGGATTTCCTGCTAATACAGTCGATACCCGCGTTGAGATACTGCAGCAGGACGGACTGACAGGGCCGCGCTAGTAAATCTGTTATTTGACATTTAAAATCTGACAGCGCACTTTTTTTTTTTTTTTTGAGTCTTTTAACATCCATGTGCACAGATAGAGGACCTGCTCCAGATAAAATATTCAAGACATATGGCCGTGAATGTGAGATGTGATATTTTATATAATAGCTGTCAGGCCGATTTTTTAATGACCTCTCACATCAGGGAACTTTTGATTGATAAAGTTAAATGGACTCGGGGTTTCTTCGAGCGATGAACTTCGTATTTCGAGGCGCTTTTTTTTTTTCTTACGACTGTTCGATGCATGTTATTAGAGGAGGGGGGGGGAGTTCAAATTCAGCTAATGACCTTTGCTGCACAGCGGTCCTTCCATCCCTCCTTAATCTCCTGTCTGTCTCCAGTCTGTATCATGTAATAAGGCAGGAAATGCCATTTAAATGTCAGTTAGTGATACAAAGAAATGAAATGATAAGAAAACTAAAAAAATATTCCTTTTGTTATTGAATAGATTAAAGTGATGGGAGCCGGAAAGCACCAAAAAAAAACAAAGTGGATCTGAGTTAATTCTGTTAGATCACCGGTGTATGCTGATGGACCGACAGGAACTCACCATTGCATTCTTCTTCACTGGTTCTGCTCCCTTCGCTCTTCGCCGCCGCCGCACAATATGGATGTTGTCAGTGTTTACTCTGTTCCAGCGTCTATAATGCTCTGCCTGAAATCTGCCAGAAAGTTCTTTTTATCCTCCGCGTCTTGCCAGCGGAGTGGAGGAAAAGCCGCCAAGGCTCCCGAGAACTTCTCCTTGCTCCTTGGATAGCTTTTCACCACTCTGGGGGGGCTTCGCGAGGTGAAGAGTAAACTCAAGGCAAGACGGGGGGGAAACTTCTGCGGGGCCCCGTGGGCAATCGCTGATTTATGCTACCGCTCGGATCGTGAGGCTCGTGTGTGTGATGATGCGACTTTCCTGCTGAGAGAATGAAGTGAAGTTTCCTGCCAGGCGGTACTCCCGAGTCTCTCGCCTTGCTTCTCTGGAGGCCTCCCTGGCTACTGTTGCTATATTCTTGCCTCTGAGGCGAAATGGAAGATGCCGGAGTGAGTTGTCTACTGGGTAGATTGAAGCACCAGACTACTGAGCACGTGTTACCTGCTGGGCAGATTAAAGCACCAGAATAGTGAATGCTGTTGCTGTTTCCCTTCTGTGTTCCTGGACAGAGCGTCTATGTAGAAGCTGTGGTTGCTGAGGTATATAGTTGCCTGCCAGGTATACTGTACAGATAGGGGGGTTAGGCTATTGTTAGAGTGGAGCTGCCCTCGTCCGTCCGGTAATAACTAGCCTCCGAGTCGCCGGGCTAGCGCGGGTCAGCACAATTTAGGCAGGGAGCAGGATAGAGCTGGCAGGTGGCATGAGGTCCAAGGTCATTGCTGGTCGTCACGGTTGCAGTAAGGAGAGCTTGAGAGGCAATACAGGTTGTCACGGTAACAACAGTGAGATGTCACGGATGTGTGTTGTTTTTTTGTTTTTTTTTTTTTGCTCCGTGTTCCAGTCACTGGGTTGGCTGTTTCGGTGGAGGAGGTAGGCAGTGGGAGAAAATCCCTGAGGTAAAATGGAAAAAATGCTGCACGTAGAGAAGAAAAAGAAGAAACTGATAACGGATAATAAATTGCTATTTTTTTTCCTTTTTCTTTTTTTCTTCCTTTTCTATTTCTCTAGGAGGTAGAAAGCAGAAGTGTGTTTCTCTCTATGACTGGATCGGAGCAAGATGGCGGGAGGTAAAACTGTGCTGTATCAATCTTAAATATATTTTTCTATCTTCTGTTGTCTGAAAAACAATGCTGGTGGTTTGCCAGGGTCCATCTGAAAATAGGAGCCGATGCTTGGCTCTGCCTCGGAATACCAACAGGGAGGTTTCTTCAGGGGCTCCACCTGTGGAAGAGACAAACACACAAAAGAAAAACGGGTTAGATTGACATTACCGGACGCTGCTGGTGATTGTTGCGGATGGAATCTCACAAGTCTGGTTGCTTCAGGTAGCTGAAGGAAAAGATCGAATCTAAAGATGTCTGAAAGAACTAAACTGGTCTGAAGTGTCAAATCGTGTTTTGTTGACCCGACCATCCACCCCGAGCACCTCTTTTAGGATTTCAGCAGCTCAAATGAGCAAAGATTAGTTTGTCTGATTAAGGTTTTCTCTACTATTTTTAGTATTTTTCAACATAGGATATTGTAATAGTTGAATAGAAGCGTCAGTGACTGGATGTTAATACACTCCTGATCAAAATCTTAAGACTCGTTAAAAAAAATTGCATGAATTTGCATTTTGCACTGTTGGATCTTAGGAAGGTTCTGAGTAGAGCTTCAAAATGCAAAAAGAAAAAAACAGGAACAAGAGACTAAAAGTTGTGAGCAGGCAATTTATTGAAAACAACAATTTAACTCAAACAGGGTGTTCATCAGCTGATCAAAAGTTTAAGACCACGGCCTTTAAAAGCCAAAATCTGTGCAAAGATTTGGACTCTATGTCATTTCCTGTCAAGTAATCACATTGTGAAGATCTCTTGATGGCAAAGGCTAAATAAAAGCTCGCCGTCTTTGGTGGGATTGTTGAGCTGCACAAACAAGGCCTCTCACAAGGTGCCATCGCTGCTGTGGTTGGACGCAGTCAGACAGTCATTTTGCATTTCTGAAAAGATCCTCAGGGTTATGGAACAAAAAAATCAAGTGATAGACCCAAAACAATCTCACCGGCGCTGAGCCGGAAGATCTGAATGGCTGTCCGTCAAGAAACGGGACGATCCTCGTCCCAAGTTAAGGCCGTTACTGGTGCCGACTGCAGCCCAATAACCATCAGACGGCATCTGCGAAGGAAGGGCTTCAAAAATAAGAAACGTCTTTAAAGGCCACGTCTTCTTCAGCACCACAAAACTGCCCGTTTGGACTTTGCAAGGGAGCAGCAAACATTCAAAGATGGAAGAAAGTTTGATTCTCTGACGAGAAAAAATGTCACCTTGATGGTCCTGATGGCTTCCAACGTTACTGGCATGACAAGGAGATGCCACCTGAGATGTTTGCATTTTGAAGCTCTTCCTGAGATCCAACAATGCAAAATGCAAATTCATGCAATATTTTAACTGGTCTTAAGATTTTGATCAGGACTGTATGTTCAGATATTCTTTTTTTTTTGAGTAGAGACAGCGCAGTGACCTTTTCATACAGGGAGTGTTGCACTATGGGCTGTTTGTAGCATAACGTTGCTACGCCAGAGAGTGTTTTTTTCTGTCTGTTTATCCTAAATCTTTCAATTGCTGCCACGGAGGACATAAATTCATGTCGGGTGAAAACAAGTTCATAGCATCTCCTTTACTGCAGAAATAAATCAGGGAGGAAATTCATGAGCTTCAAAAAAAAATGCTGCATGTATACGTGAGCACGCGAGAGAGAGGGACTCAGTTCCCCCAAAAAGGAACCGACTGCTCACACAGGTTAGCCATAAGGCCACCTTCATCAGGGGAGCACTTATAATCCTACATAATTTAAGAAACCGGACTTGCTTTAGATCCTTAAAGATGCTCGACCCAAAAAACTTGAGCATTTAAAGCCTCAACTTCATATTAAAGTTCTTCTGGTCGTTCATTCAACCCCTAAAATCTCATCTCTGTGCATTAAAAGTTAAACATTTAGAAGATTTTTCCATGCAGCTAACCCCGTCGTGTCTTACAAGGGCTTGGATGCACCTCTACGCCGTCGTCCCTCCCTTGGAATAAAGTGATTCAGTCATGCGTGTTGGAACTGGACACAGATTCTGAAGAAGAATAAAGACGCAGAAAAACTCCACCCTGCGAGTTGACAGGTTCCTCAGGCTCGTTACGCGTGAAATCGCGGACGTGTTTTTTTGAAGACTGTCACCGGTGAGCCGGCGGTTTAAAGGTGGAAACGCTCAGACGCGGCATCGACGGTTTGTCTCGCTCGTGACATGTCTTCTAGCATCCATATGGGGGGGAAAAAAAAAAACTGGACTTTCTTTGAAGATGCTTCACCCAAAAGCTCCACCGGCTTTGACCGACTGCTGGGGGAATCTTCTACATTTCATGCATGCCCCCTCATTACCAGAATGTACAGTAATGGGATTCTGCAGAGTTCAGCTCGTCTGGGGAAGGGAAAGAAAAAAAAAATTCTCTTTTTTTTGATGAAGGGCAAAACATCTTCAAACATCTAACGCGAGCACCCGGCTGCCCCATATGGAGCTCTCCTCGGTGCGTTAACGCTGTGAACCGGACTCGGATAAATGGCAGGAATCACACAAATGGAAGTTGAAAGACAAAACAGAAAACCTACGTGGTCTCAGTGGGGACCATTTGTTCTGGACATCAAAACAGTGATCAGACGGCGAAGAAGAAGAAAAAAAAGAAGAAGACGCATCATGCAATTACAATGTTAGGGATGGAAAGTAGTTACCAAATAAGTAAAGAAATAAAAAATAAAAACCCTGTGCTGCCCGTAGATCTTAATGCATTTCTCTGTTTATGAGCTGAACTGGCACCGAGTGCATGCTGGGATCCTCCCAAGTCCCCCAGTATATGCAGACATATTGCTGGTGTAGCTTCTCGCAGATGGTTCTCGACGACAGCGAGCAGTGACAGAAATATATATATTACATTTCGATGCAGTCTTTTAAGGCCTTTTTTTGATGCATTAGTGTGTTTCTGTATCGACTCTGCAGATTGGTGTAATTGCGTACTTATTGGATTCCTGTCTCCGCTGTCCTGTTAGTCTATTGGAACTATAAATATATATATATATTTGGAGCTGATAAAGGTCCAAATCAAAGTGCTTGCTGCTTGACTAAATCAGATTGCAGTTTGGAGTCCAGGCATTTTTCTTATCAGTAGGTCACGACGGGGGACAGATTCAGCCTGTAAACACATTTCCTAAACGACATTAGGAGAAAAAAGGTTCTTTGTGCTGCGACTGTGTTTGAAGCGTTTCGTGAAGTCGTACTTCAGCATCAGTTTCACAAACCAGGAGGAACTTCATCTTTTAGCGCATCAGCAAAACATCATCATTAGCATCAGAACTTTGAAAAGAATCTGCAAGAAAATTAATCTATTCCGAAGAAAGAACCCTTAGAATAGAATTAATCTTCTGAAACAACTGGCTTAAATGTTATGATTTTATTCTCGTAAAATTACAACTTTTTTCTTGTGAAATTATGACTTTTTTTCTTGTAATATTACAATTTTTTTCGCGTAAAATTACGACTTTATTCTTGTAATATTCCGACTTTTTTTCCTCATAATATTGCCATTTTTTCTCTGAAAATTGAGATTTTATTTTTGTAAAATTACAACTATTTTTCTCGTAATATTACAATTTTTTTGTCATAAAATTCCAACTTTCTTTTTATAAAATTCTGACTATTTTTCTCGTAATATTACCATTTTTTCTCGTAAAATTCTGATGTTATTTTAGTAAAATTACAACCATTTTTCTTGTAATAATACCACTTTTTCGCGTAAAATTATGACTTTATTCTTCTAAAATTACGACTATTTTTCTTGTAATATTACAATTTTTTTCTCATAAAATTCCAACTTTATTCTTGTAAAATTACGACTATTTTTCTCATAATATTACCATTTTTTTCCCATAAAAATAAAATTTTTTTCTCACAAAATTATGACTTTATTCTTGTAAAATTACGACTTTTATTCTCGAAGTCTGTGGAATAATATTTTTCTTAATGTGGAATTAAAAACCCCGTCGTAGAAAACAAAATCAGCATGAATGCACAAAAAGAAAAAGAAAAAGCCTGCATATAGTGTAATAAACAGTGTTATTGATGTTATAACAAGAAGTGAAAACATTAGTCACTGTGTCTATTTGGGGATTATTTTTGACACATTTACTTCTTCAAAGAAGGAAATGGAATCGGCTGTGTAGAGAACATACTGCTGGTTTTGATTTGTCACTGTTTTTTTTAAAAGCAAAATATAAACCATCAGTAGCATAAAGGTGCTTTGTACTGTCACTGTGTTTACGGCAGCAAGCTACTCAGCGTCTGGCTGAAGAAAAATAACTCTGATTCATACTCCGGCACATCTGTCAAGCTGCGACGCCTTTTAAAACACTGGCTTCCAATTAGGTGCGTCCTAAACGGGAGGCTCCTTCCGTCACATGAACGTGCTGTCAAAGACAAGCTAGACATGTTACACACAAGACACGGCGGCGGCACCGGCGTGTTTCCTCATGTGTCACACAGCCGCCGCCGCCGCGTATATAGGTGACAGCCGCTAATAAGAAACAAACGCACGGAGTTCACTCTGCAATAACAAAAGCTACGGGACTTGTTCAGTATGCAAAGCAGCTACCGGGTGGAAAATCTATTGTTGGCAACCCGCATTTGAAGGAACACAATGTACAGACACACATATACACACACGCATTCCCTGTTAATCTTCCTCCATCTGTGCAAGCTGCTCTTGGGCTGGGTCTCTGTCACACACACACACACATCTCGTTGTGCGACTCTCTCGCTCACAAGGCAAACACAAGTCGGCTCGGCGGCGCTTAAAGACACATGCCGCCGCCGCCGCCGCCGAGTCGAGTCGAGGCTGCAAAAAAAGCCTCAGTGTTCCCCAAAACCGAGCCTCGGAGCGCTCTTTAACGCCGCCACTTGTTGATGCGTTACGAGTCCCTCCTGCACTCGAAAAAGCCGTCACACGCTCTCAGATTTAATTAAAGCATGACGCGGCGAAAACACGACACCCACCCGGTTCATCTCGACTGAAGGGGGGCTGGAATCGGAGGATGTTTGCACAAAGTAAGGCTGACATTTAAATCCGTCATTCCTGGCAGCGCTGGTTAGTCGGCGTCATAAACACACAACTTTAAACAATTCGGTGTCATCTCGCGGCACTTTGCATTGA